AGGCTTCAGAGTCAACCCAAGTCTGGGCCTAATTTCAAGGGACCACAGGGAGCCCTGGGAGAGAAAGCTGTGGCAAGTCCGAGAGCATTGTGAATGGAAAGGTGGCTGAGAGGAGAGATGGGGGAAGGTCTGGGAGTGGGTGGTGGGTGGGATGTCTGTCTCTTCCATCTCCTTGCTCAACTTACCCACTCTAAAAAGCACTCAGCAGCTATCAAGAGCCTCTGGTCCCTTGGGCTCCACAGGAAATCAATGGGGTAGGGGAGGGGAAGATGGGCCCTAACTCCTCCCCTCTTCCCTCTGAGCTGGATTGGAAGGAGGGTCTGAAGCTGAGGTCTTCTGTCCTGGGCCAATGCTCTGGTAGCTCCCAGGCCCCCTGACCACAGCTGGTTGTTTTGGAAAAGCATGGATGTGGATGCCAGCTGGGTGGAGCCGAGGCTCCCATCTACAAGCTGTGGAGCTTTGAATTTCTAAGGTTTCTGATCCTCGATGTTCTCATCATCTGTACTTGGGAGATATTAATAGTACTGACATGCCTCACTTTATTGTGCTTCACAGATATTGTGTTTTGTACAAAGTAAAGACAGCCTCCACCAACAGAAAGATTACAATTCGCTTTATTGTATTGGTTTGGAACCAAATTCACAATATCTCCGAGGTATGCCTGTACCTACTAGTGGGAGGATAAATGAGCCAATACGTGGAAGTACTTAGCACTATCCCTCAATAATCCCCTTCCCAAATATGTCTGGGGGACATCATGTCATCCAGAATCCTCTCCAGGCCCCATATATTGTCATTCAATGAGCATTTCTTGAACATCTACTGTGTGTAGAGCTTTACTGAACACTGAGTGGGAGCAGATGAGTAAATGGTGTGGGGGAAGGAGGGAGCCCTTCTGTTGGGGAGTATTGATCAGGAAAGACTCCACGGATGAGGTGAGGCTGGAAAACAAGTGTATGACTGCAGATGGAGTTGGGGGAAGGCATCTCCAGGAGAGGGAATGGCAGAGCCAAAAGCAAAGTGATGTCACGGCAGTGAGCAGCCTGTTGCAGTTGGTGCTTGGTGCCCAGGGAGCCCTCCAGCCCCCAGCCCCCACGCCTCTGGTGTTGGGACTTTTACCTGTATTATCTGCTTCTTAACATATGACCAGAACCCAGTCAAAGGGGCTCCTTGAAGTCTTCCCCCCACACACTAGAAAAATGAATAGTTTCTATTCCTTTAGCCAGCTCTGTGACCTAAGTGACCCAAACCCTGATCTTGAGAATGTCTGTCTGTCTGTCTGTCTCTTACATGTAAGTGCAGCTTGCATGAACCTCCCACTCTCTCTTCCAATATGACATCTCCTTCAGGAAGCCCTTCTGGATTGCTCTTTGTTCCTACTATACGGAGTGCACTTAAGGTGTGTGTGTGTGTGTCCACCCAGGTCACTTGCACCCAGCTGGGAACTGGCCCAGGAAAGATCTGTCAGGGACAGTTTTCTGGTCATCCCCAGCTGGTCCAGCCCTAGTGTGTCCCCTCTCCCATGCACTTTCAGCCTGTGGAAATTTATGCACTTTCTCTGCCCTGGTTACAGCTCCTATTACTGTATTTATCACCCTGGAGACACAGTGGTACAGACACACACATGGCACACACACTTTCCCTGCACACACGTGTCTGCACACCTCAGCTGCACTCTCACACACACACACACACACACACACACACACGCGCGTACACTGCACGTGTGTGTACTCCCACACACACAAAGCTCTCTAGGAAAATTGTCCCTATCCTTCCTGCTGCTCCTCCTCCACTCTGTCCTCCCACCATCACCCACCTCCAAACACTGAGACCAAAGAGATGGGCTGGACGGCGCCTCCCACCACCTGTCAGCCTGGGAGGCACTTCCCCGTCCTTGACTATAGTGTGTTCTCCTTCCTCACCGCCTGCCTTTTGCCTCCAGCCTGTCTCCCCAGCATTCTGCCCTTCCCCACTCTGTGCCACTTTCTGTATATCTCTTCCTCCACCTTAGTCACTCTGAGTCCTCTCTTTGCCACTCTGTTGACCCTCTGAGGTGGAACCTGTTTTTCCTCCTTGTTCTCCCTCCTCAGGGGCTCAGGGACCTCACAGGGGCTGATGGAGACAGAGGGACAGGCAGAGGGGTCCTGTCACTTTCTGTTACTCCTCCTGAGCGAAGGGAAGGCTGTGTGCCTGGCACCATGGAGACCAGTGTCATGGTAACACAGCCTGGGTGGGCACAGCCTTCCTTCTCCTGCGAGGAGCCCCATAGTCCCCTCCACAGGTCTTGAGGAGGTGGGCCTTGTGCTGCTGCCCAGCACTGGCTGCTACGCCTGCCTCCAGCTCATATCACCCCCGGGTGGCACACCCCCACCCTGACCAATTCTACTTGCACTGTAGCTCCTAATGCCTTAACTCACTAATGGGGGAGAGGGGGGTGAATCCTCTCCAAACACCCGAGGGCTCATTTATAGACTAAGGGCCAGAGAGCAGAGGCTTGTCTAGGGGCACACAGCAAGTCGACTGGCTCAGAGAGGTCAGTCCAACCTGGGACCCTGCTCCCTGGGAGGTCTCTAGCCAGTCCTTAGTGTCATAATTATAATGATGCAAATGATCATGTTGATAAGCCATCTGGAAGCACCCACCACATACTACTGGGCTAAGGCTTTGCATGTGTCGTCGTTTCATCCTTATAACCAACCCTATGAGGGAGATACTCCTTTTGTTTCCATTTTATAGGTGAAGGAAACTGAGGCACGGACTTGCCAATGTCAGCTGACTAATAAGTCGTGCGGTTGGGACAGGAACACAGGTCCTTCCCAGATGCTGCAGGTGAGCCAAGGCTTCAGGCCTGGTGCCCTCCCCCGCAGGCAGTCTTTTTCTATGTGAGTGGCAAATCTTTCAGCTCTGTCATTCCTTCTGGAGGGAGTTCACAGGGAGGGGAGGTCTGGGGCTCAGCCTCGGTCTGGCCTTAGGGTTTCTGGAAGCCAGGAGGTTATTTTTCTAAGAAGATGAAGGGGGAACAGGCCTTCCTAGTGTGGTTAGTCCTAAGGAAGGCCTCCCTTGCAGTCTGGCCAGGCAGAAACTAGCTCATAACCTTCAGGACCGTTTGGGACCGTGTCTAAGCCCAGGCTGGAGCCTGGGGATGGAACAAGGAGACCCTGCCTCCCAGGCCCAGCTTCTCCTTGCCACCTGACCTTGATGGAGTCACACGTCAGCTGCCTCGCTCCTGGCTTATGTAATTATTCAAATATAGTAGCTGCCTTTATTTCACTGAGTCACCCCCTTCCCCCCTCCCCCCGCAGGTGCAGAGAGTTAAGGGGGAGGAGGTAATTTTGGGTGAGTGGGTGGCTCAGGGTCTCCTGGCAAGGAGGATGCTGCTGTTCGGGGTTGGAGAGTGGTGGTAGTGGGGCTGGGGTGGGGGCCGAGGGAGAATGAAACCATCCCCAGAGTACTCAGCCACAGGGGCCACTTTTGCCCTGACCTATCCCTTTGAAATCCCACATTCCTGGGGCATCCTTCCCAGGGTCAGCAGCTGTATTCACAGCCTTTTCTGGGCCTTTGCCCAGCTGGAGGAGGGGGTAGGGGGAGAGAGAGGTGGATTAGGAAGAGGAGAAAGTAGGCTGGTGGGGCAATGGCTAAAAGTCCCTGGTCCTAAGCCCAGCCCTGCCCTTTACTCTGCCCTCTCTCACCTCAGTTTCCCCATCTGGAGCACGAGGGATTGAAGTCTGCTGCATCTTATGCTGCCTGATTCCTATCCCTGGAGAAGACCTTGCCCTTACGCAGAAGGCATTTCCAAGTGTCTGGTTGACTTACCTCTCCTCTTCCTTTTCTCTGTCCACCCCAAGTCTGCCCATCCTCGCTGGGCCCGTTCAGCCTCCCCACCCACCCACAGGGCAGTGTAGGCAGGAAGGGCCACTGGATTCTGGGCTGAGGAGCTGAGCTGCTGCTGCCTCTCCCCTCCCTAAATTTGCCATCTGTTCTACCACTTCATCCGCCTGCCCAGCAGGAACAGGAGCTCACTACCCCCACCTGGGGGCATTCCTTCTCATAGGGCCGCTCTGGCTGATCCGGAACCTCAAGCACACAGTGCCTGGGCCCTGGGTTCTGGTCCCCAAAGCCGCCTTCCTGCGGTGTTGAAGAAGCTGCTCCACCTTAGAGCTGTTCTGGAGGCTGGGTAGCCTTTGTTTCTTTGTTAGCAAAGGCTTTGCCAGCCATGATGTAACGGGGGGTGCTTAGTGTGGGAACGCAGGGAACCATGCCAGTCCCTTGCCAAGGACGTGGTTCTCCAGCCGTTGTCCTTGGAGCTACAGGTGGCAGCTTCCTAGGCAAGGAGGAGATGGAGAAGCACTGTGAGATGGCTCCTCGAGCCCCCCCTCCACACACACACCCCGTTGCCAAGACCCAGATGTGGGCCCATCCTGGCCCCCAGCCAGAGGGAGTCACCCAAGGGTTTTCAGTCCAACCCTCCGTGAAAATCATGTTCTGCCAATTACCAGCCTCCCCTGGAGAGTTGAGGGCTGTTTCACGCTTTGTGACCTCAGTCTGCCCCGGGTGTGTGTTTGGATCCCCACAGAGCAGGTCCGTGAGGCCCCCTCCACATCACCTGTCCCCCCACATCCACCTGCAGCCTCTTAGGGCTTGCTCCCTTCTGGTCCTGGATTGAGCTCTGAAGTACGCCATGTCATTTCCACACTCAGCTGTGTCTCCTTCTTACTCTCCTCCATCAGCATTTCTCACTTGTACCTGGTGAGGCTGCTCCCTGTGGAGCCAAGGATGGGAGGGCCAGTCAGGATTGATCATGAGAGACCTCAGTGCCCAGCTGAGGTGCATGGCTTTATCCTGAGGGACCCAGGGAGCCATGCATGGGTTTTGAGGAGTCTCATGAGCAGCTAGATGTCTTAGCAAGGTGGCAATCAGTTCAGGGTGGAGGTGGAGGCGGGGTTGAACTGGGATGGGGGCTGGAGAATGCCCAGTTGAGGAGAAGGAAGCTGGGGCTCCGGGAATGAAGGGAGCGGGTAGATGTGAGAACTGCAGAGGGAGAATTGACAGGCCTTCGTGACAGATTTGATACAAGAAGTGGAAAGGGAAGAGGCAAAGCGACTTTGAAGTTTCCAGACTGGGGATTAGAAGTTTGCTGATGTCTTTGATAGAGACAAAGCAGTGTTGGATGTTGAATATTTCAGCGCGAGGGGCCTGTTGGATGTCCCCAGAAGAGATGTCCAGGAGGCAGCACATCTGGCGCTCCAGAGAGAGGGCTGGGCCAGAGGGCACTCACAGTTGGTATGTTGGAAAGCCCCGTGCCCCGTGGGGTAGGGGGGAGAATGAGGAGCGACAGGCCTGGTGCTCCTGTAGGGAGCGCCCATCCATACGGAGGGGGTGAAGATAGGATGAGGCAGTGAGCAAGACAGAGTAAGTGCCGTCTGGAAGGTGGGAGGGGGACAGCCTCGTAGGAGGGAGGGGGAGGGCGCTGAGAAGGCGCCTTTGGTCAAGAGGAGGTAGCTGGAGCCTGTGAATCCTGGGCGGGGGCTGATCCTCCAGTCGCTTTGGGCAGCCACCCGCCTTCCAGAAGCATCCTGCTTCCTCCCACCTCCCTCCACTTCCCCAACTAGCAGGAAAAAAAGGAAAAAAACAAAAACCCGAGTGCGGAATCTTGGGGGGAAGGCGCGGGAGGGTGAGTGGGTGAGAGGTAATCAACTAAAGACTTTGTATGCATATGTGTATAACCCATGGACAC